CTAGAGGAAGAGGAAGATGAGCTGGTACCTCTGGTAATCTGGTACCTCTCTCTTACTTCATCTTCTCTGAGTCCTCTCTGTGTAGCAGACCAGGAGTAGTCAGGCGGGGCCTGCCTCTCGCGGAAAAACTGAGAGTCAGGTTCAGTACGGTAGGGGCCTGCCTGAAATACGGATCCACGCGGATCAAATGCGGATCAGGCTGAAATGCGGATCGACGCGGAACGCTCGCGGATCTGTATTAAAGTACAGAACAACACGGAAACTATACGGATCTTTCTGCAAGAATGATAGCTATGCATCAGGAGAGAAATTTATCAGCTCTATTTGAGTCTTTGATAGGAACTTTATCATCCTTGCAGTTTCAGTACATGCAGGTAAGCTGATGCTTATGATCAATCACTATGTCGATAATATTAGCCTGTGTTTTATGACAGTTGAGATCTACAGATAAGCTGATATCCTCTTGAGCTATTCTCTTCAACTTTTGTAAACATACAACCATTGCCTGTGATAATGAGAAAACAGACTACTACTAGATCTAACTACTGAGCAGTCACACACTCAACATTAGCTCAGTGTGCCTTCATGCAGTCAAGAGACAAGTCAAGTTATTTTAAAGTGCTATCATGGCTGTACCCCCCAAGTTCAACATAGATGGCAAAGTGGACCATTGTCTGGGAATTCCAGTCTTTGTTTTTTTACTTTATCACTGTTATTTTCTAATTATTATTATTCATTCTGCATGACTTATAGAATTATTATATTTTTAATCTTTATATATTATCATTATTCAGCTAACTACTATTATTATTTATTCATTCCATCAATCATTCACAGTTGTAGTCTCTTAAAATTTTACTATTAGCTATTGTTACTCATTCCTTTTGTTTATTGATTTAATCTCATTGTATTTCCCAATTTCAGTGTACTATATGCTTTGGTTTTATAATTGCAAAATCTAATTAAAGTGAGATGAATGTATAAGAGATATAAATCATGTGAATAAAATTCACTTGATAAGGGATCTATAGCAGTTTAAATAAATTTGTACTGTAAATGGGAAATGTATGTATGAACTAACTTGAAAATTAATGACTTTTAATAACATCAAATAATTTTTTAATTGGAATGGAGTACATTTTATAAAGCTATAAAACTTCCATACGCCCACAATGCTATTATAAAATAGTATGCATTAATGTTATAATGAAGATTGTATTTCTCCCCTTATCAGTGGTGATTCATAACCAGAAACATTTCACAGTCTGCACTACCTTGTGTATGACTATAGCTGTCTACATAAAAATTCAGAGCATTAATGTGTTGCAATAGAGACAGTTATACTTTCATTTCTCGTGGTAAAATAAAAATTCTTTTGTTATTCCTATTCAATCAAAGTTTGAAATATTCAGTTCATATATCAGCTGCTGCAGCAGTTTGCTATTGTGTTAAAGCTATAATATCACTGTGTCATTAAAAACTTATGAATTTATTATAATTATTTCTTAAAGGATCCATTATAAGATGTTATTGTTCTGAATCACATTCACACATAAATCTTGAAGTTATGGTCAGCTCAAGTAGATACTGTATATAAAAAAGAAACTGTAATCACCCCACCAAAATGCTTCATAGTCTTAATGAAACAATAATCAGCTTATATAGATCTAACTGTCATG